TAAAAATTCTTCATCTTAGATGAAGTGTACACACTTAGATGCCGTTGGTGACATCAGATGAATATCACCCATGACTTAGGCATCTGAGAAAAGCAGAGGCAGATGATATAAAGGAACCTTGAACTCACCCGTTGTCCTCCCTGCTTAGCTTGTTTACTATTTTATTTTACCATGGAGTTTCCCTGTGTATGTCATTATACAAAAACCCTATCTTTATCATTTATCCCAACATTAGTCTAGTCGATATACTAGTTAGTAGACACATGATGGTTATTTATCAACTTCTTTAACCATTGCTTCCCCGACGATAAATACGATACCCTAAATACTCCTGGATGAAAGCTACAACGGTATCCGTGCGCTTGCGAATTTCTCTGTTTGCGTTAATAAATACCAACAATCTTTCAGGTGCCGTTGTCGGGGAAGCAATTGGCATAAAATATTTTGATATTTACCTTGATATCTGTTAACCTAGATTATCACTAGCTTTTGTGGGATTATCCTTGTCCCGTTGAATGTGGAATAAACAGGGCAACACTAGCCATTCGACCTTCCGGCATATTTTCACAAGTGAAAAAAATAGAATCATTACGAGCCTAAGGTGCCCAATCATTCATGAACAATCAACACTTCCACCCTGCAAGAAAGGTATATACGTACTAATCATGTGTAGATGAAGAGAAGGTTGCCGTCAAGAGAAAACAAGACCATCATAAGTGACGGGACAACTACATTGCATCACTCACAATTCAATAATAAATTATAGGTGATGAATCGAACAAGGTATAAGAACCAACCCAAAAATATCTTTCCTATTTTTATTTTCTTTTCACCACTTCATGTTTGCTTAATTCATCACATATCTAGTGCTTTCTTTGGGTGGCTCCTAGACTTTGAGCTGTATTCGGGCGCTATGCCAGTCATGGCCCATGTCTGATATCATTGCCTGATTTAGAGTCCGATCTTTGTTAGGAGGGTACTTCCCAAAGTCAGGTGATTTTGTCCGATTCCTTTTAGGAGCGTGAGATTTTGTTTTTGAGAGTTCGATCCTTTTTAGGTGGTTTTTTCAGCGGTATGCGGTCCTTTTTTTTTTACCGAAGTCCGATCATTTGGGATTTGGTTCTACGGCGGTGGACGATTCCCTTAGAGGCTTATTAGGTGTAGAGATAGAGATACCAACTTTTATAACTGTATAGCAACGAGTACTTACAACTTTTACGAAAGTACGAGGACCCTGTCCTCTCAGGTCTCGCATCCTGCCCTAAGCGCCGCCGCTGCCCCTGCCGTCCACCACCGCTGGTCCCCCTTCCTTCCCCTCCGGCATCTCGCCGAAGGCCGGAGGGAGTGGTGATCCATCGTTTTTAATAAATTTTTTTTGTAGATCGAGTTCTTAGGGTTAGGGTCTCTCTATGCCAAATTTCTTGGTATTGGAGATTTTTCTCTTCCTCCTCCTTTTCGGCGACGACGAGAGGGCAGGGTAGAACCGTTTTCTCCATGGCGGCTCTGTTGAAGATGAGAGTGACAACTACGGCGTCAGCAACTTCACCGCCATGACGATATGGAGACTTTTCTTTCTGGACGGCGACATCAAGGCGGAGATGATATCGCCGCCATGGAATAATTTTCTCCGGTCTCTTCTCCGTTTTGTTGGTTAGATCTGGCCACGATGAAGGACTAGGGAGAATAAGTTTCAGATCAGTCTTCCTCATTCTTCGGTGAGCATGAAACAAGAAAGAAGTTTCTCAACTCCGCTGCGCAGGGATGTTGGCCGTCGTTCGTTAGGCATCTGTTCTCGTGCCTATTGCCAAGTGTTTGCCAATGCAACTCATCCATATGAAGCGACAAATAGGTTTGGTTTTGAGATATGTAGCTATTCAAAGCGTGGGTACAATTTAGATAAAAAATCAGTTTCTAGATATATGTAATGTATTTCAGAGTGCTTGTAATGTGTTGATGTACCCAGTTATTATCTAATTTATAATTCACAAAAAAAACTTTTATAACAGTATATATACATGACCCCATGTGTGTCTCCCCTGTATTGCCATTGCCCCATACCCCTCAGTCCTGTGGTAAATTAATTCCTAGATTTATCTGGAGTAATTTTTTTTAGTTTGACCAAATTTACATAAAATAGAGTTTAAGATTTATGACACTAAATTAGTATATTTAGATACATAATTAACTATATTTTTATGATGTGCTCATTTGATATCACAAATATTTATACTTGTTTCTATAAATTTGATCAAATCATCATCGTCATCGTCATCACATCACACTATAAAAAAATGAGTTCTTTATAAGCGATGTAAGATGTAAGGCTCCAACACCCATACGTGACAAATTATCTTGTTTGAGGACTCTGACACTAGTTTTTTCTATTAGATGTAAGATATAAGACTGCAACACTCATAGGAGCAAAATTATGACTCCAACACCCACACGAGCAAAATTAACACTCCAACACCCATATGAGCAAAATTATCTTGTTTGAGGACTCTGACACCCATACGAGCCAAAAAAAAAACTCTGTCACCCATACGAGCCAAAAATACTAATACGTGTTTGAACTCGATGCTAAAAGTATTAATGTGTAACATGTTTGGATTCGATAGTTGCTTAGTAGGAGTATATGCGTGGCCCCATCATTGCGTTTGAACCCATCTATAAAGATATTCTATTTTTGTATTTAAAGAAATTGGTTATGATATATATGAATTGACATACCGAGAATTCGATTAATATTCCCATTAGATTTGAAATACTTTTCATAAACACGTGCGTGTTGCATGTGCATATTTGCTAGCATAAAAAGTTTGACTTAAGATAACTCTAGGAATTGAATTATTCAAGGACATATGGAATAGCAAATAAAAATTGATTAATAGAGTATGCAAATACTAGAAAACTATTTTACCAAAGAGTAAATTGTGTCGGAGGCAGCAATGCCAAGCGTGCTCGAGACAGGGTGGCAGCAATGGCAACTCGCGACTGTTTACGGTGGCCTCAGCCATGCGAGAGTGTGCTCGAGAGAGGAAAAGGTGCCCGGGCTGGTGGGGGTGTTGGTAAGGGACAGCGGCGGCTAGAGAGGCGGGTACACGACGGTGGCCGTGGCAACGGCGGGGCACTTTCCCCACCAATGGTGGCACCCGCGTTCTCTGCGGTAGACAGCGAGGAAGTGAGGGAGAAGGAGTGCGTGAGGAGCCCCGAGGGCATGCAGAAGGAGGCAGCGGCGAGGAAGCAACGCGGCATGGCCCTGGCGTGGCGTGGCGTGGCCAATGGCCATGTGCCTGTATGGAAGCCATTGTTTCGCCATATTCCAAAGAGATTCCCATCGGATTCCTAAGAAAGTATCTTTGCTACTGTTCATTCTCCAACTTTGATTAAGAGACACTGTAATTAGCATCATGGATTAGGAGATAAACAGCACCAAAGTTTGCAATGTAAGTGAAAAATAGGGGTCATGAACTAGGGTTAGGAATTTCAGTTTTCGCTCTGTTTAACTGAAATTTTTAAGGTTCAAACTTGAGCCAACCTACACCAAACTTTGCAGCGCTTTTAATCTTACTTTGAACTACAACACTTGCTTTGGAACCAAACTTTGTTCTCAAACTAAAAGAGGAGAATGCGGCACGCCAAATCGCAGTGTCGATTAACTGACATCACTTGGTTTCTCTGGCCCAACATGAAATTGAATTTTTAATCAAACTCTGAAGCACTAAACAATCTATCAAACATGTAAATCTAGCAAAAATAAACATTCCATCACAAATTTCATGACTTACACTAGAATTTTTATATTGACAAAATTTGAAGTTTAATAATAAAATAATTATTTATCAAGCTCCCAAATAGCCATCAAGCAATTAAAAGCAAGCTATGATTTTTGATATTTTTAAGCACTTTCTCCGTATCTTTCAAACAAAAACCCTAAATAACTTTTGAACAAAAGTTTATTTAGAGATGTTTAAGCAAAAGATCAAGGTTTGTTGCCACCACACATATTGATTTACTAACAAAAGTTGTTCAAACAAAAGGAAAACTAGCCATTTTATGTGTTCTTTTGATATCAAATTTTTTGAAAAGGGCACATAAGAACAAGATGCACTCAGCTTGATGAAAAGCACTTGACCAACATGCACACCTTTATTATTAACAAAATATATTTGTCCTTTTTGAAAAAGTTTAAGTTGGACCTCATTTAAAAGAGATTTTCTCCACATGGTTATCAACCCTAGTAAGTATTTTATTACAAGAACACATGAAAACTATTTATCAAGTGTTATTAAGGCTTAACCTATTGCTAAACATGTGCGTAACACCAGGGTGTTATAATTAGTGTATTAGTTTTTACTATTTTTAAATAATAGATATAATTAGTCACCTATTAGTCATCACATCCACTCTTATCCATCCAAGCAAATAGAAAAATAGCTCATCCCATCCATCCAACCGAGCAAGCAATATAGGTAACCCCAACTTAAATTCATAGATGGCTATATCTCATCCAACCTTACCCTTAAACCAGATGGGAGGAGATCCCTCACGCCGCCACCGTAGCACCACTGTCCACCTCCATGCCCACTGGCTGCCATCTCCCTCTCCCTCCCGAGTAAATCATGCCAATAACCTCTTTAGGGCTGGTTCAGTTAGCCTTTAATCCAAGGGGATTGAGAGGGATTCAATCCCTTACAAGTCAATGCCCTGTTCGCTTGAACTTATCAGCCGTAACGCTTCAGCGAAATAACAATATTTTTCTCTCACAACAAATCAGCATCAGCATCAGCCGTTTTTCCAGCCAGTCGAACATGGCGCAAAATTCTCCTCAATCCCCTCGGTTTGGAGGCAAACCGAACCCACCCTTATTTGAGATTTTAGACTACAATCATTGATACGAATGTTTCTGAACTTGTATACATCAGTAATCTACATTTGCTTCCAATCACATTCCTTCTGCAGATCATTTGCACTTGTCAAAACACAAATGCTACAGAAATTCAGGAAGCACTGTCTTTTTCTTGGCCCAAAGTACTCGTCATTAGCTTGACAAGATCATTGGCACGCGACACGCGCGCTTGCAGCTCTTCCTTTTCTTTAATGAGCTGAGCCGCCTCCTCTTTGTGGCGGTTCACCTCTGCGCATTTCTGGACCAAGGCCCCTAGGGTCGACTCGTTCTGCTTACTCAGCTCCTCGATCTTCTGCTTCTGGCCTACGAATGAAAATTGAAAATGAACATATTAAGCCTAGCCTAAGGGAAAACTGAACTTCAGAGACAAGACACGGTTTAACTACCTTTATTCTCATCTTTCAGCTTTATATTTTCTTCTACTATTTTGAATGCCTCCTGCTCGGCTTCCGTCATCCTTTCTGTTAAGAGCCTTCTGCTGTCTTTGAGGTCTAACATAAAAAAGGAATATAATGCATTATGATGACTAACAACCCATCTTTTTTTTGAAATAAAAGGCAGGAAATCTGCCGCTCAATTAAGTAAGAGGTAAGAGTTTTATGTATAGGAGGCACCCCTGGTGCCAACACTACAGTCCTAAGACCGGGAAAGGAAAGACATGTCCCACCCTTAAGGGGATTTACCCATCAAAGAACACAGCCCAGACAGCATAGTATGAAATTTGATCTTACCTTTCACAATGCACATATCAAGTCCAGCCTTAGGGAAAACTGAACTTATAAGACAAGACACGATTTAACTACCTTTGTTCTCATCTTTCAGCTTTATATTTTCTTCTTTTATTTTGAATGTCTCCTGCTCGGCTTTCTTCATCAAGAGCCTTTTGTTGTCTTCGAGGTCTAAGATGAAAAAGAAATATAATGCATTATGATGACTAACGACCTATCTTACAGAGAGCATAGTATGAAATTTAATCTTACCTTTCACTTGTTGCTCCAGCATTATCTGCCTATCCTTCAGGCGTCTATTCTCCATGACCAGCTTGTTTGCTTGTTCTAAAATCTCAGAGGAGGCTGCCACACTGAATGACACATACTACAGGAAAGGGAACATATGAAGAACTGATACTGGGATGTTAAATATCCAACATAATATCAAGTGCCTTGCAAAATATCAGATCAAGCGTATTTGACCAATACATAAAGTTCTTGGCGCACCAGCTATACGCAAGATTGAACTCGCCACTAAAATTCATCACTTTTGAGTATCCTTAAAACATTGTGAGAACAAAAAAAAATTGTACAAGATCAAGATCACTTTTGATTCTCCTTAATGAGATGGTTGTAGTTCGGGTCTGCAGCTCTTAGTTAACAAAATCTATACAGCAATGTTCAATGCTACTATCTATGTGCAGTGCAAACTGAGGATGACCCTAGAGTGTTATTCTGAATGGATAAATTGATGAATAGTCAGGCTCGTAGTATAAGTTGCACAAACTTAGAATGATTCAGCAGGGAAAACTAAACAGAAATCAGGTTGCACCTAAGAAGTGTACGCTCAGTTGAAGATATCTGAATCTGGAACTGCAATGCAGTTACAGCATGGATAGGATTGCTTTATCTTGAAATGGAATTCAATCCAAACTTAGCTAGGATTGCAAGAGAAGAATTTCCTTTGTGCCAAAATGTTTTGGAAGAGTTGAACACCTTTACAATGTGATTTGTACATATTGCAGAAAAAAGAATTGGGAAATGAACAGACCAGTGCAGAGGTATCAGTCTAAGGGATAGTAAATGAGTTTTATTTATGTGTGATGGGTTTTGTTGTGTTTATGTGTAAATCAGGAACAAAATTAAACCATGATTCATTCAGCATCTGGGAACTTGAAAACTGGTGGGTAGACAGGGGAAATTAATTAGCAAGTATCCCAGAGCATGGTGTTGATTTGGTAGAGCCTAAGGATCTGAGAGCGTAGTCGTGTGAGGAAGGTGGACGGCGCTTCCACGATTGGCGATGTACAGGCGCCATCAGAACTGAAGAAGAAGCTAGCGCTATGCGTAGGGGCAACAATAATTGTTGTCCTGCTTAAGTTCCAACTGATACAATAGCTTTGCTTATGTCTAATCTAAGGAGACCCCTAATCCTTGCAGAGTGTTTCGGCAGTTGTCAAAGTCATGCGTGAGGCCACGATCAGGACCGTTGTGCGCCTCACGCTCCTCCCTTCTTCTTCCGCCTACTGCAACCCACACCGGTCATAACATGATTATATAAAGTCTTAGTCTTTTGGGAAGTCCAGAAAGCAAGAAATATCCGGGTTTTCACAGCATCTGGTAGCAGGCATTAAGGGTGGACATGCAATCGGTGGAGCACAGACAGAGCAGTTGTAGATGGCAGATTATTTTTGTAGCGTGACTCTATCCGGGTTTTCACAGCATCTGGTAGCAGGCATGAAGGGTGGACATGCAATCGGTGGAGCACAGACAGAGCAGTTATAGATGGCAGATTATTTTTCTAGCGTGACTCTTTCAACTATTTATTGGTCAGATGTAGTTGGTAGTCCTTTTTTTCTTGTAAAATTTTGTAACCTATCAAGATTTCTTTGCACCGATTTTATAGTGGACCTTCAAGCAAAATTCTTGAATGGATGAAACTTCTATTTTTTAAAAGGAATCACTAGGAAGCCTTTTGAGTTTCTAGAAATAAGGGGCATATGAAAGAAGAGACAGTGAGTAAGCACTTACTTCACTCTGAACTTTCTGCATCCGCTCCCATATCACCTCACTGTTTATTTCCTCCGTATTATGCACTGGAATGGCAGCTGATACCTCAATGGCCTCCTGGTCTCTGACTATCTCAGAGATAGATTGTGCAGGATCAACCTCCTTGCGAGAAAAATCTCTAACAGGTTGATTAAGGAGTACATTCGACATGGAGTCCTCAACAACCTTAGGCCGTGAATCAACAACATTGGCAAGCATGAACAGTTCACCGTTCCCTGCCTCTTCTGCTAAAGAGGCAGGAGGGCATCGTGCCAATCCTAGTGGCCGTGAATTTAGCGCTAACACTGCCTCTTTTGTTGAGGAAGTCCCTTTTATAGAACCAGTGTCCAAAGACGACATCCTGCATAAATGATTCAATCAGATACCAAAGGCAAGGTTTTCTAAATGAATATTTTACAAGACTTGCCTGTTCTTTGTAACAACGGAAAGTAATGAATACTTTGCCCTTCTCTGAGAATGAGATCGGGGGGCCTTTCTTTTGGCACCAATAACTGAAAAAGAAGGTTTCGTTAACTCTGCTATTTTCCCCTCTTTAACCTCAGAAGGGTGCTCTATAGATTTTTGTTCTACGCCCCTGTTTGGAGAAGCTGCAGTTGTTATATTTGTTATGGCATCAAGAATCTCTTCTTCTGGATCCGAACCTTGAGTGGGGGAAGGGTCAATTTCAAGAGGTGGAGGTACTACAACCTTCCTGGGACCAGCAGATTGCCTTGTGTATCTTCGTAGGGAGGCACGGCGAACTTGAGATTTATATGTGATCATGGAAGATTTCCTTGTCTTTATCGAAGCTGTAATCTCCTCAAGTGCTTTCTTCTTAGCTTCGTGAGTTGAGGGAACATTCAGCAAGCCCTGTAAATTGGTCCAATTGTTTTTTTAGATTCAGTGATAAATTGGTCCAATTGTAAGGAAAGCATTAGCAAATATCGTTCACATAACTACTGCTGTACATACAAGAGGTTGATTGGCATGGTCATTGGCTGATGCTCTGACCAGGCTGGTTGGAACATTACGTCTATCTGTAGGCTGCTTCACACCCATTTTCTTAAGATCTAGAAGGTAGCGCAGCTTGCTCTCAATGTCTTCCACAGAAAGATCTACATAAGAAAATAAAAGACAGAAAAAAACTTAACCAAATAAAAAATGTTTGTTGTGCTAATTGAAGATTCCTAAATAGCCTTGATGGAAAGGCAAGAAATTTCTAAATCAGTCCAGAAAGAAAAAAAAATCGAATATTCTTTACAAATAACACAAAAACATCCATGTCCTGTATACAAGAAAACTAGCATGCATCTGTTTGGGTTCTTATACACTTATTTCTTCTCTAATATAATGATACGCACCTCTCTTGTGCGTTCGAGAAAAAAAGTGTGGTCAGTCGGATCTCAGATGTGAAATGAATAGATTTAGGACTTTTGAACCAAGCCATAGGTGCTGATTCTAGACAAATTAACCAAAGAACTTACCATCTAGCTGTAAGATAATCAGCTGCTTTCTCCATTTGTTTTGCTTCAGGGAGTCAGCATTGGGTCAATTCCTGCCTATCTTTTTTTTCCCTCACCTTAGGTGTGGCAATAGGCCACTTAGTCATGGCTTACCTTAGCCATGTAGAATAGTTGGGGTTGATCTCAGCCCAGGTACTAGTGTACCTTGTGTAGTTGGTAAATCTCTACCACTACATCTATATATACCATATGTAATGCAACAGGGAAAGGCAGTTCAGTTGCTGGACTTGTGTGTGCTGTGTTCTATGCTCAACCCCTTCTTGTACCTCTAGCCAAATGTGTGTGTGTGTGTGGGGGGATTCAGGTGCTACTCACCTGTGCAGGCCGGCTGGTTTCCAACACTAGCAACTTGATCTATTATGGATTGGACTAAAAAGTAGAGTTCGTGTCAAACAACTTTGGTGTTTAAAAAGATCTCTATGCTATTGCCATCCACCTATGAATTTAGTCAAAAGAGCAGCTAAACATATGATTTAAATAATGTAAAATTAAAAAGCAGTTAAAACATAAAGCAATTATTGTGTGTATAAGCATAATGATAAAGTAAGAACAGAGCCTCCATCAGAAGTACGTTTCATTACAATTTGACTGAAATAAATGCATAATTTGGAATTGTGATAGACTATGATGGAGCTAAGGTGCATGAAAGAAATCTCATATGTTCCTTGCAGCCAGAACGTAATTTTACTGGAGCAGTTGTTTCTATAAACTGATAATAAGTCATAAGAATATTGGTAAAACTAGCATATTCACCTTTTTCTGAATCCCTGGTAGGATCTGACAGACCAGAATAACCGCACGCCAAATGCGTCCTTCGGCGCAAAGGGCTAATCCGGTGCTTGAGGTAATCGTGAACGATGTCTACACCAGTCAAGCCTTGGTTACTTAACTCCGTGATTCGGAGGACCTGCTTCTCCTGCTCAGGGGAAAGAGGCAAAAGATCCTTCCAATTGTCTTTCTCCTCCAATGCATCACACCTGAAGGTCAAGCGACAGTTCTGTGGTACCTTGGCATAGAACCACAGAGAAACCCAACTGAACTGCGAGGCTTTCAAGTAGTACACTGGATAACTCTTCTTCATCTTGTCCCTAAGCCGGAAGTAGACGGAGCCGAGTGTTGTCGTTTTGCCTTTCATATTGTGAAAGAGGTTGTAGAAGTGCGTGAAGACCTCCACAGTCGGAGGCACTCCCATGTAGGCCTCACAGAGGTGGGCGAACATGCTCAGCGCGGTAATGGAGTTGGGCGTCAGGTGAGACCACTCAAGTCTGTAGTGGTTGAGCACGCTGACCAGAAAATCGCTCGCATCCAACCTCAGACCGCAAATTATGTGCCTCAGAGACAGGATAACAAACTGATCCTCCAAGGTGGATAGCGTCGGAGTCTCATCTTTGATGGGGGCTCGCCATTCGATCAGCTCGCCAGGATGGAAGGCGCCGGCCGCTACACACTTCTGGATGGCATCCTCGCTGCACCCTGCCTTTCCCCACTCAAGATTCGTCATTTGCGGAAGGGATTCTGAAAAAGAAGACAAAGGTGACCAGTCTGGAGAAACGGCAAATGCAGAAAGGCCGAAGAAAAAGAAAATGGGGAACGAAATGCTTGCCACGAATCCTCACCCGTGGTCGCCGCTGTCCGATCTAGATCGCCGCCGGCCGCCACCAACGATGGCTCCTCAATCTCATCCCCTTCCTCCGCCGTCCTTAGTCAGAAGAAGTGAACAGCGCCGTGGAGCACTCGTCTTGCTGCGGGGGCCCCGGTACGGACCGCGGAGAGTAGATACGGTCTGCTCGCTACAGCTTGCTCTGGAGTCTAGAGGTCGCCGCCGCATTGGCGCAGTGGCGCAGCAGAAAGAGAAAGGGTGGGGGGAAACCCGAGAAGCCTCACCATGATTCTCTCTCCATGGATGTTTAGTGTAGCAGCCACCAGTCCACCGCCCGCCAGCTCCGCCGACGGGAACCAGCCACAGTATTTAGCGTCCCGTCAAGGGGAAGGACCAGAGGCCTGTTCGGAACTGTTAGACTCGTTCGTCGCTGGTTTACGAGAAAGTACCGTTGATCGGTTCGTGCGAGAGAAATATATTTTTAAATGAGTAAAAATAATGTCTTATTAAAAGAAGAAACAAGTTCAAATTACTTCTCTAAATTTGGCTTATGTAAAAAAAAACTAATGATTGGTACAATTTTCTCACTCCAACTATTTTAGTTGATCCAATTTGCTTTTAATATGATTTGCTATTTTTGTTTCTGTTTACGTCAAAATTTGGGAGGATGAATGCGGGAATTCAAAGCTCCTAAAGATCGTGTCATCAAGGAATCGATTGCATAAAAGTTGATATCAGCTGATTCAAATGCAATACTGGAATCGGCTCTCTTCGGATGCCGTCAGTAAATAACGACAGGAAGCTATAGTTGGCGTCGGGAGAAATATATCGGACTCTAAAAAAAGAGAAAGATTAGAGTCCAAATTATCTTAAATTAGGAATGTTTTATTCTATACCAAAGATTGTAATGAGTCGTACTTAAATATGATTCATGCTTGGGATTCGGGTATAAATATTGGACCCCGGCTATTATAAAGAGGATCCAATCAATCAAATATAATTTACCTTTTTTCAGCTCCGGCCAACCCTTAAAAGTAGGAGTAAAGTAGATCTCGGCAAGTTCTTCAGCGAGCAGGACTACATCGGTCCGGCCGACCTTCGGCCTGTCTGTAAGTACCGTCATAGTTTATACTTTGGTTTGTACGGTTACATCGATCCGGTTGACCTCCACTGCGAACTTTAGTATAAGCTAATTATCGACTCTTGTCTAGTTCAAGTACGGCTGTATCGATCCGGTCAACCTTCACTGCTCGAACTAGATTAAGGTCAAGTTACAGGCTCTATCTAAAGGTGATGTCCTTCGGGTAGATTCATTAAGTTATCGATCTTGCCGATGTTTTCATTGTTATTAGTTTGCAGCAATATCAATCCGCTCGGTCAAGATCGATTTAGATCGGCCTTATATGCTTTCAGTCTGTCGTTCGCTTTATTACAACACGATGTTTCTTACTTTGAGCGATGGGTTACGATTTATCGGCTGTTCTACTTCGATCTTGATCGTGCATAGTACGCGGTTAATGCGTGTATGATCTTAAAGATATTTACTGGTTAGTTAAATCTGATCTATAGTTCGCTATTATGGCTGTAACGATCCGGTCGATCTCCACTGATGGCACTGTAGATTTGGAGGACGCTAGTTAGTAGATTTGTTCTCAATTAGGCATGACCTTAACTGTTTGTTATGCCTACATCGGCTAAATAGCCGATCGCATATGCTTTAACGCCTATAGTGTGTGTCCATAATTCTGTTAAGCGTGAATAGGTCTATGTACTTTAAGGGTTTGACCTATTGTCTTTATCACGGCTGCATCGATCCGGTCGAACCCCACTGTTAGAGATAGTAGGTTAAGTCTGACGAGTCCATAAGTTTGTCCATGTGAAATAGTCAATTGTTCACACGCTGTAGTCCCTTTTTACCTGAATCGGCTATTTCAGTCGATTCATATGAGCCTTCACGTATAACATGTCTTTCGGAAAGCCTGTCGAAGTATAGATGGTTTTTATGGATTTTTTGGTTTTAGTTTGTTATTATCATCATAGTTGCCATCAATCTGGTCGAACCTCACTGTTGATGGTAACAGATTAGATTCAGAGCGTTTGTAGACCCATTAGTATTAGAAGCCGATTTATTTGCATGCTATATCTTTTTCTTGATTTAGATTCATCGGCTCAACGATTCATACTGGTAATATCCACCTAGTTGATGATCTCATTTACGTCTGCGGGCATTGTACTTATCAACATAAAACTAATCGCGATCCATAAGTTTTACTGTCCGTAACAGCCGATTTCTATGTGTATCGGCTATTTAGTCGATTTTCCCGTCTGGCTGCTCCTGAAGCGGCACACTTAGAACTGTCTGGACAAAGACCGGTATGTTCCACCTTAAATTACTAATAAACTTTCTCTCCTTGCCAATTACAGGGTCAAATTGACTGGCACGTCTCGAGAGGAATTCGCAGGATCGGCTACCTCTGCGTTAAAGCCAAGCGGATCTCTAGCTCCATCAAACAGATCCTTTCGGCTTGGCGTGTGTCGATGCATTTTTGTGCCGACACACGTTTTGACACGTCTGGTGGGACACTACAATCGTCGTGACGGCTTACAACAACAATGGCATCCTTATGGTGCCTTATGAAGACCTACCTGATGGAGATAAAGATATCATCAGCAGAGCTATAGAAGAAGTTTAGAACAAGTGTTTGTTGTCCTATACCAAGACACGTGACAATACAATTATTCAGAAATATCCACTACCGAGTTCTGTTGCATGGGCAGACAGATGCAGATGAGGCTGAAGACAGGCGTTTCTTCGTAGAAGCTGTAAACAAGTATGTTCATGATGCTATGTCGAATCTTAATGAAGTTTTCTTGAACACATTCCACAACACCATGAAAGAGGTGTTTTATGGGTTTCCAGTTGATCAGGTTGGGCCGACTTATTACAACATTCCACATCCATCGACTTAGGGGACTAATCAAGCCGGTACTAGCCATCAAGAAATAGCACCAGTTGGTAATGATGATGTTCAGGTGGTTCAGAGCTCATCTGAGCAAGTTTAGGGTGCTAATACTAATCAGATACAGTATAATCCTGGATCGTCAGAACAACATTTGAGCAAGTTTGGAATCAAATGGTCAATTTTGGCATATCAGGCCAGATACCATCATCGGCTCAAAAAATAGCGTCATCAGTTCAAAGGATTCGTAGAGATATAGATCATAACATCTACAACCAGATACTTCAAGCAGCAAACCAGCAGAGGACCCATCAGATAGAGATTCCATAAGGGTATCATTATAGCACAGATTACAACACCCTTCACATGATTTTAAATCCGTTGTATCAAGGTACCAGAAATTTTAATCCACAGATGGGTCAGCAATTGAAGAGTAATCCAAATTCAAATACTGATGAGTTGTTGCTTAGAGTGACCGAGATGATAAAGAATCAGTTCGGTTTGAAGCTAAAAGGGCAGACCTTCTCATACAAATGTCCATATCCAGAATGGTATGATTTGGTCGCTCTTCCGGCGAATTACAGGCTCCCGGAGTTTACTAAGTTCACTTTTCAAGATAGCACAAGCACAATAGAACATGTCAGTCGGTATTTTACATAGCTGGGCGAAGCATCCATTGAAGAGGCCCATAGAGTTCGTTTCTTCTCCTTGTATATTGGGAGCTAGAAGACTTCGAGTGCTTTTCTGGCAAGTTATTGGAAGGAGGCTTTATTAGAACCAATAATGAAAGCCAATAGCTGATTCAAGCAGTCGGCTTTGAAAATTTGTTTTAATGGATAATCCAATAGATAGTATAGATGACAAACTAGGACATGGCTTCACGTCGGTCGATGAATTAGAAGAGATAGATATTGGTTCTGGCGATAGGCCTAGGCCGACATATGTAAGTGCCAAGTTGGATCCTGAGTATAAGCAAGAGTTAGTCGATTTATTAAAGGAATTTAAAGACTGTTTTGCTTAGGAATACTATGAGATGCCTGGTCTATACCGATCGATTGTTGAACATTGGTTGCCAATCAAACATGGATATCGGCCGTGTAAACAAGCTCCGAGGAGATTCAACCAAAACATACTTGATGATATCAAAAAGGAGATTGAAAGATTATTAGAAGCAAAGTTTATCCGACTGTGCCGATATGCAGAGTGGATATCGAATGTTGTTCCTGTATATAAGAAGAATGGAAAGTTAAGAGTTTGCACCGATTTTAGAGATCTAAATAAGGCTACACCCATGGATGGTTATCCGATGCCGATAGCCGATATGTTGGTAGACGCAGCAGCCAGGCACAAGGTTATGAGCTTTATGGACGGCAATGCAGGATATAACCAAATTTTCATAGCTGAGGAAGACATAGCAAAGACAACTTTCAGATGCCCTGGCGCAATCGGTTTATTTGAATGGGTTGTAATGACCTTTGGTATGAAGAATGCTGATGCAACTTATCATAGGGCAATGAATTATATTTTTCATAAGTTGATCAGTAGGATTGTTGAAATCTACATTGATGATGTGATGATAAAATCCAAGGGGTACAAGGAACATCTAGCTGATTTGCGGGAGATTCTGGAGTGCACAAGAAAACATGGTCTAAAGATGAATCCTAATAAGTGTGCCTTTGGAGTATCAGCTGACAATTCTTGGGTTTCATGGTCCACGAGAGAGGAATCAAAATTGGTCAAAAAAGCATTAAAGTAGTTGATGAGGCAGTGCCCCCGACTACTAAAATAGAGTTACAATCTTTGCTTGGTAAGATTAATTTTATCAGGAGGTTTATTTTGAATTTGTTGGAGAGAGTTCTACCGTTTTCTCCCTTGTTGAAATTGAAAATGATCAAGAATTTAAATGGGGTGATGTACAACAAAAAACATTTGAGGAGATAA